ACACACAAGAGAACAAAAATAAAATTTTAAAAATTCAGAAATTAAAACTCATGCCAGGAGGTGGTAGCACACATCTTTAGTCCCAGCAGAAGCAGGTGAATCTTTGGGAGTTCCAGGACAGCTAAGGCTGCACATAGAAACCTGTCTCAATAAAACACACACACACACACACACACACACACACACACACACACACACAATTACAGTGAGTTTAATGAAAACAACCACAGGACCAGAAATCACAATGGAAAAACATTATTTTGAGACAATATGGATACTGTACCCTAAGTTAAACCCTTCTGAATACTGCAGGGATCTACATTCTGTACCTGAGAGGTGAGAAGTTCTGCACTGGTGCCAAGTCTGTCCCAGGAAGAAAAAAGGTACTAGACACTATAGTAAATTCTTTCATAAAATAAAATAAATCTGTGTGTGTCTGTGCTCACGTGTGATTACAGGCACATGTGCCACAGGATATATGTGGAGGTCAGGACAGCTTCAGGCATGGGTCCTTGCCTCCTATCTTGTTTGAGGCATTTTCTTCATTCTGCCATGTACTTCATTAGTCAACTCCTGGAGATCCTACTGATTCTGCCGCCCATCTCCCTGTAAGAGCCCTGGGTTACAAGATTCACCTGCATGTGGCTTTACATGAGTTATGGGGATTTGAACTCGGATCCACAAGTTTCTATGGACAAATGCTTTTGCTCATGGAATCATCTCCCCAGTCTAACTGTAGTAAATACTAATTGTTTTCTCTAGTCTAGGGTAACAAATACAGTATTTTAGTAAGTCTTAAAAACTGACTTGGTAAGTTATTAATATGTAGTTCAAAGGCATCTGTAACTATGAACACTGATGAAGCAAGAAGAACTGAATAAAGGAGCTGTATTTCCCATGAGGAAGGGTGGAGTAGTAGAATACTGCATTCAGTGAACAAAGAAGAGGAAACTTAATTCTTTAGGAGGTAGAAGTAAGAAAAAACCAACTCTGAAACAGAAACTATGGACTAATAATAATATACTGCCTGAGTAAGAACTTTCAAGCCTTCTAATTGAAGTGTACAGGAACCATGAAATCCTGCCTGGATACTATAATTTCAAGCAGTACGACGGCTACATGCAGGGGTTATTCCTTACTAAATTCTAGGGGTGTATCAATTTCTGGCTATTTCTCAAAAGTTCTGTCCAACAAACAAACAAACAAACAAACAAACAAAGAAAAACAAGTAAAGCAGAGTCTGGCGAGGTGGCTCAGAGGAAGCACACACAACTGCTCTTGCAGAAGACCCAGCAGCCATGTTGGGCGGCTCACCAGTGCTTGTAACTCCAGCTCCAGGAGGAAAATATTCACTCTTTTGCCCCACTGACAGTTGTAAAAGTTTCCTAAGGGCTGTGGCCCAGGTTTTGGCATTCACTACTTCCTGACTATTCTGTTTTTCAAATTTTCAATTTAATGCCAGAAAAAAAAATATCCAACTCAATGGCAAATGCCTTGAAAATGCCAAAAGCTTGAAGAAAAAAAAAGTTGAAATTGATTACTGGTTCAATTGGTCATTTGCGGTGCCTGCTGACATCCCCCTTTACCCTTATAATGAGTGATGAATATTACATTTTACTTTATAAGAATCTGACCCAAAAATACAGAAATACTCCTATTTAATGTTTTGTAATTGAGATCACCATCTTCAAGAATTCCTAATAGGGCTGGAGAGATGGCTCAGTAGATAAGAGTACCCAAGTTCTGTTCTGACCACCAACAGGCTCACAACCGCCTAAAACTCCAGCTCCAGAGGATCCCTACTTCTGGCTTCAGAAGGCACCTGCACACATGTGCCACCTTCCCCTTCCCACATACATATAATTAAAAAAAAATTTAAAAATCCCTTCAAAATTTGTTTAGCAAAAATTTTTAAAGGATTCCTAAATTTTTCTTTAAGCTACCCAGCTTTTAGAGTATCAAAGAAAGTTGTATTCTAAAACCTTCAAAATGATTCTCCATCATAGAAACTGCTTCACTGAATATGGTGGTGCACACCTGTAATCCCGCACTCGGGAGAGAGAGGCAGGTGATCGATGTGAGTGCCAGGCCAGGCTGGGTTACATAAGGAGCACACACCTGCAGTCCCTAGCACTCAGGAGGCTGAGGCGAGAGGACCACAAGTTCCAGCGGAGTTTAAGAGAACATAGTAAGACCCTGTCTCAAAGGACACAGAGAGTGATTGATTACTTCATTATTAGGAAAATATTATATAATCCTTGAGGACTAACTGAATCTCCTGAGTTTAAACAGATTGTTCCAAATACACTTCAGAAACAGTTTCTGTTACTAAACTTGCTTAACCATACTTCAGAGAGGAGAGCTGTTTCTCCCCCTAGTACAGAAAAAGAACACACTATTATATACAATACTAAGCTTTTCTAAGTATCACCTTCCCCTTGATACTTACTAAAAGAAGTTATTTATCTGCAAAGCATTAAAAAAAAAAAAAAGCTCTACATAGACGATGCTAGGATACTTCCTATAACAAGTAGTTTAAAAATACTGAAGCTAGAAAAAAAATAATGAAGGGGCTTGTAAAAAGAGCAAAAAGCAGAACTTAACAAAGATACTAAGCACAAGCCCTGGGCACTATGTATTCTGGGAAAACAGAAGCTCACAAAACCTCCACAGCAAATAAAACAAAAGACCAACAATCATGAAATGTAAGATTACAAGACAGAAAATTCAGGTCAACTTAAAAAAAAAAAAGCCTACTTTAAAACAACAACAACAAAAACCCTACCTCAAAAACCACAAGTAAATCCCTAAAATTTTGGGACACCAGCTCTAACAAGTGACACTGTCGCTCTCTGACAGAGATTATTATTATTGTAGCTTATAATAACGTGGATCTACACAGCAAGTTATCATTTCAAGAAATGCAAACTCTACATAAGATGAAAATGAAAAGTGCCTTAAAATCTATACTCTCGAGATATCACAAGGCAGAATTCATGGGAGGAAAAATGCAGGCTCATTTACAAATTACAATCGAGGGAGGTTGCCTAGCATTCACTACCTGTAGCCATCCAAAAGGCCAGGAATACATTAAAAAAAAAAAAAAAAAAAAAAAAAAAAAAAGTGGGCCTACAATATTGAGAACAAATTACTTGGAGAAAAACTTCCTGAAGGAAGTGCTAACTCCTACCAGCACAATTAGAAGCTGAAAGTAAATTAAAACTCTGCAAACAGAAACTGGAAACCTCTTCATGTCAAGAAGTAAGGTTTGAAATCAGGATTTAGACTGCAACATTGCTTAGGGAGCTGTGACTCTTGAAGCGCTCAGTAATACATGGCTCCCAGAGCACTGTACGTATTCAACACCTGTGTTTACGTTAACCTCCCACATCAACAATTTTACAGGTTAGAAAATACTTTCTTTTCTTCTCAACTGCAATCCATTACACTATCTTACTTTCCCACACAGCGTTGATTATTTTACAGAAGAAACTTTAGGATGTTAAGTCACTTCAACTAAAGGACGAACAGAGGCCTGGGAGACTGCACGACTTACTCAGGCAATTCACAGACACTGCCAACTTTAAAAAGTTCAAAGTACAACACTCCAGGGAACGGAACCGCACTCTACGCGACATCTACGCGAGGCAGAATCTCGAGAGTTTCAGCCCAGCAGCTCTAACTAGGTCTCCTTCCGTAAGAAGAGGGAAAGTGAGGCAGACAGCAGGCAGGAAGTAATGCTAAATGTGAAGGCTCGCAGGGGGTGCAGCTGGAGGGAGGACTCCCGCGTCCCACTCTGGCGCTAAGCCCGGAGGCGGCAGAAGCCTCCGTCTGGGACACCTGGTCAGTCTCCAGAGAGGGAAGAACCCTGACTATCCCCGTTTCCGCTTACTATCCCAAACTCGGGCTTCCCGACGGAAAGGGCTGCCCAGAAATCTTCCCTCCCCGAGGGTTTTACCTAGTAGTTAGCTCGGGCCCTGAAGAGGAGGAAAATCCGCTAGGTCTGGCTCCCGTCTCCAGTCTCTCTACCGCACAAACTCTCCACAGCCCCTCTCCACCGCGTAGAACTCTCCACCCCAGGGCTCCACCAGACGTCCCCGGGGGAAGTCGGCTTCCCACTGAAACGCCAACCCCCCCAAGGGAAGCCCTGCCCGCGGCGTGCGCCCCTCGACCCGCTCCTGCCCCGAGCTGCCGGGACGAGCGTCCCTCCGCCAACGACAGCCTTCCCGGGGGTTCCCTGCCTCTCACCTGGGCCCGGTCAGCCGCAGTCTCCTCGGGAGGGTGACCCCAGGACCTCCTCCAGGCAAGATCCCCCAGACGGGGATCACCCTCTTCCAGGAACCGCTTCAGGCGCCTCCAGCGCGGGCCTCGGAGGAGAACGTTCCGGCTGCTTCCCAGACTCGCCCCAACGCCACCCTCTCCCAGACCCCTGCCCGGAGACGGCCGCGGCCCCAGTCCGGCGCCTCCGGTCCAGGCTCCGGCGGCTGCTCTCTTCCCTCACAGGCGTCCCTAGCCCTCAGGTTCCCTCCCCGGCCACGTCCCCAAGGGGCTTCCCAGAGCAGCGCGGTCGGGCTGTGGCACTGACTTTCACTAGCTCCTGGGCCCACCGGAGGGAGGGGACAGCGACAGCGGCGCGACTCCTTTGTGACAGGTCCGAGAGAGCGGTAAAGATGGACGCGGGGACACGGCACTGCCATTACGCGCAGGGCCCACCCCCGCTTCTTACCGCCCGGGCCCTCCTTCAGTCCCCTAGGAAACGCCCCTTCCTCGGTGGCAAGCCCTCTCTCGCAGGCAGCCAATCAGCTCGCAAGCGCGGCGTCACGTGGTCCCGCGGTTGGGCCCGCCACCCTGGAATGAACCGGCTAATCCCCTTGCCGAAGGGTGAATGGCCCAATCAAAGCCCTCCATCCGGGTGCTGGAACACCGGATCTCCACGAGGCGCTCGCGGAGGGAGGCAGCTGTTGATTGGCCTGTGCCGCCGGAAGCGGGGTGGGGATTTGTTGTGGCGGCGAGGAACAGGAAGCCCCGAAGGGTCAAAAGGAATACAAAAGCGAAGTCTGCTTGCTCCCCTTAAGCTGTAGTTCTTCCTTTCTTCCCTGTTTTTCTTTTTTTTCTTCCAAGAGCGAGTGGCCTCGGCGGCGGCGGTTCGCCTTAGCAGCCGCGGAGGGGAGGGAGGCCCGCCTCCCGCGCTCGGGTAGGTGAGTGCGGCCTGGGTCCGCGCCGGGAGGCGAGGCCAGGCTTCTCGGCCGAGGAGAAGGGTGAACTACCGTCGGAGTTAGGGTCGGGGCCCGGGCTCGTCTTCGGTCGGCGGCGTCGCCCGGGCCGGGAGTTCGCGGTGCCCACCCTGAACGGAGCCGCGGGAGCCTGCGGGAGCCTGCGGGATGGCGTGTGGGTCGCGGTGGGAGGCTCCGACCCTTTCTGGCGCCCCAGAACCGTCGGGCCTCCTGTCTGCGCTCTGCACTTTGCTAGCCGGTAGCGGTCCAGGCCTAAAGTGAGCTGCCGCCTCGGTTCCACTCGGAACCTCCCCACGCTCCTGAGAAAACGTGGGATGCCTGATTGAGAATCCTTGGATCCCAGAGTGTAGTTGCAGAATGGGAAACACGTTTGTTAGGTAGCGTGTCCCGGTTGCAGTGTCTCGCTCATTCTCTTCTAGTAGGAAACAAGGCGGTGTACCTATTTATTATATTAGAACCAAGACCGATGGTTGAGGTATCTTGAGAGTTGGGGCCACGCCAGAGGAATTGTTCGTAGAAGTGCTTCTTGGAGGAAAACAATTTCTGTGAGCCTTGGTTTTAAAATGCAGATCTTGTACCTCACTTCTCAGATAGTCTGATTTAAGGCTAGAGTGGGACTCAGAAAGTCTAATATGAATCTCTTTAGGGTTTACGGCGGGTTCTTGCTTGTCAACCTGTGAGACAAGTTTCGTTGGTTAAGTTAATTGTCCCCAGAGACCATAAAAATGGTTTGGAGGAGGAGCTCACCACAGAGGTGGTGGTGTGTGTGTGTATGTGTATGTGTATGTATGTAGGTATAGTGGGGTCTCAGTTGGAGACCAGCCTGGCCCACATAGCAAGACTACTAGAAAACAAAGCAGAAGAGAGGAATAAACGAAATGGTTCAGTGGTACTGCTTCTGAACTGTTTGAAAGGAACCTGACAGCGGAATTGAATTGAAGTAAAGGCAGCTCGTGTGTTTCAGTTACAGCCCAAGATGAACTATGACTAATGTGTAAGGGTCTGAAAGTAGGGTGGCCCAATTATCTTTTGAAGTTGAAGTATTAATGCCTCTAAGAGAAAATTCTTTCTGGTTTTTTTAAAAAAAGAAGATTTATATGAGGACATTTACATGGTTGTCATTCTTCATTGTCACCATCCAAGGATCTGAACGTTTGCTTCAAGGCAAGTCTTCTGCTTCGGAAATTGAAAGCTACCTGTATTTTGGCAGTGAAGTATTTTAACAGCGTGGTTCAGCTGTAAGCTTGGTTATAGTGTAATATGCCTTTAGATTAGGGAATTTTAGTATGTTCTTCTTTTTGACATACTTGTCACTCTAGGAATACTTTTAAGTATTTCGTTTTGCATTTTCAGTTATGATGCCTCAGACCATGAGTTGTTTTCGTTCAACTGTCTTGCTATTTGATTTTTTTTTTTTTTGATTGTTTTTGTTTTCAAACAGTCTCCCATAGCCAGGCCAGCCTTAAATTTGATGTATACAGAAAAATGTCCATGAGCTTTTTTTTTTTCCTTACAAGTTTTGAAATTACAAGTGTGTGCTACTACATTTGTTAATATTAATTAGCCTTTTGACTTTAAAATAGTGACTTATTCTGTAAAGTTCTAGTCACTTAATATATTGCTATGTTGATTCTTCCTCACCGTTTGGTTGTGCTCTCTTCCACAGAAAGCCGCCTGTATTTTCACTCTGCCTCCCATGTTTTCACTCTCTCTCCAGTCTCCCATTAGCTATTTTTATTTGCTTGCTTGCTTTTTTTTTTTTTTTTTTTTTTTTCTGAGTTAGGGTCTTGCTGTGTGGCCCAAGCTGGCCTAGAACTCAAATTTATCTGCTTCAGCCCCCTTCCACACTGTGCAATTTCCTCATTAATTTTCTTCTATTCCTACTCTGTTATTAAACACTGTCATCTTTTAGGGTTTGTTTTTGTTTGTTTGATTTTTTGAGATGGGGTCTCCCTGGCCCTTCTAGAATTGGCTATATAAATCAGACTGTCCTGGAACTCAGAGAAATCTGCTTTCCTCTGCCTCCCCTATTGCCCTCCAAAAACACTGACATCTTAAATTTAGTATTTCAGGTTTTAGTTATGGAAAATTGTTTTCTTTTGTCGTTTTCGTATTTTTTGTTACTAATTTCAAGGCTTAATTTTTCTTTTTCTTTCCTTTTCTTTCTTTCTTTCTTTTTTTTTTTTTTTTTTTTCAAGACAGAGTTTCTTTTGTGTACCCTTGGCTGTCCAGGAACTAACTCTGTAAACGGACTGTCCTTGAACTCACAGAATTCACCTGCTTCTGCCTTCCAAGTGCTGGGATCGAAGGCATGTGCCACCACTGCCCTGCTCAAGGCTTGATTTTTATTTGAAACATAAGTATATTTGTTGTGTGATCCATGTATTTAATTCCCATAGATCTGTTTTTCTTGTCTATTATTCCTGCTGTCTTCTTTCCAATTTCCCTTCCCTTTCAAGTTGTAGTTCTTGGGTACCAGTTTAAGATGGGGAGGGAAATGGTTAATCAACACAGCCTGTGGTGGCTTTGGCTTTTCTGTTGCCTCATCATAGTACTATTATAGTAAATTGTTTAGGTCAGAGAAATCCTCAAGATGAAAAATAACTACTTGAACTGTAGGCTTAATTTCTAGTTTTCACCGTCTAGATTTTGCCCAAAGTCTTTACCATCTTTTTGGCTTTTGGCTTTAAAAAATATTATTTAATTACTTTTGTATATGATGTGTTTGATATGTATGTGTGTGCATACAGATTTACACACATGTATCAGAGGAAAACTTTGTTATTGGTCTGCCTACCCTTTTTTTATTCTTTTAAGATTTATTTTAGAATTTTATGTATGTTTGAGTTTGTGTGTGTGCCATGTGTGTACAGGTGCATGAGGAAGTCATAAGAGGGTACCAGATACCCTAGTGTTATATTTACAGACAGTTGTGAGCCTGTGTTGTGCCTGGAACTGAACTCATCTTCTAGAAAAACAGCAAGCTCTTAACTGCTGAGCCGTCTCTCCAGATCTTGACTTCTACCTTGTTTGAGACAGGGTCTCTAGTTGTTTACTGCTGCTTGTATCTGGCTAGCTAGCCCACAAGTTTCTGGGGCTTTTCCTGTCTCTGCCTGCCATCTCTGGGAAGGAATACTGGGATTGCAGGTGTGGCCTATGGTATCCTGCATTTATGTCTGTTTTGGAGCTTCACACAGAGATTTTCGTGCTTACTTGCTAGACATTTTATCCTTTGAGCCATCTTTCAGCCGTTGTTGTTGTTGTTATTACATTTCCAGCATTTTAAGCCTGGAAGTAGAGGACGGGTTTCAGTATTTAGTCCATTTTCTCCAGAAGCGAAAGCCTCTTGCACCTTGATTCTGATATTGGAATGTGAAGTTTGTGATTTCTTTTACACTTAAGTGAAAGATGATACTTCTGCATAAAATTTCTAATATTTTCATTATTCAGTGTCACAGCAGCTTTAGGAATTAGACTTCCCTGATGGCTTAGTGCTTAAGCCAGACTTGGTGGCACACACCTTTAATTCCAGCACTCTGGAGGCAGAGGCAGGTGGGTCTCTGAGTTCAAGGCCAACCTGGTTACAGATCAAGGACAGCCAGGGCTACACAGAGAACCCCTGTCTCAAAAAGCCAAGAAAAGCTAAAAAAAGAAAAGGGAAGGGGGTCCTTGCCTTAGAGCTCAGCTTTGACTTCTCCTGTAGTATTAACTGTGTCCTATTTTTCCTTAAACTGCTGGTGTGCCACACCATTTTATTATTGCATTTTATTATTGCTCCTCTTTAGTACCAGCACTGTGCCTTGAGGAGATTTACCTTTTTAAAAAAACTGGCTTAGGCAGAGAGTGGTGGGCCTCTATTCAGAAGTAGGGGGATCTCTGAGTTTGAAGCTAGCCTGGTCCATATATCAAGTTTCAGTCCTGCCAAGGTTACATAGTAAGACTCTCTCTCTCAAAAAAACAAACAAACAAAAACCAAAACAACAACAACAACAAAAAACATTTAAAAACTTCAAAAAGCTGGTAGTCTTTTGCCACCAACGTCAATCACACAGGCAATTTTTTTTTTTTTTTTTCAGTTTGGTTGTACTGTTGAGTTTTATAAGGATGGGTATGTAGAAGAAATGCTAGGATTTGGTGTGCGGGTTGGGTCTAAAGGCAACCCAGATGGCAAAACAGTTGAAAATCAAAGCTCCCCTTGAATATTTCTCCTAGAGGCACAATGTTGAATACTAGTGCTGAAAAGTTAATGTGGTTGTGTCTTCTTTCCAGTTTTGGGGAGCAAAGGGAGTTTGGGGGGGTGACAGGACCAAAAGATCTGGGCTGTTTTATTTCCCTGAGTTCCAGACATGTAATTGCTTCACACTCACTTGTCACAATATGTAGCAAAATACAAGTAAAATTAGAATCACACATAGTGAGGGGATTGTTTATGTTCTGAGTTAAAGTGTGAAGTAGAGAGCTGAGTACAAGCTAAAGGAGCGAATGTTTAGTTTTCTATTTTCTTTTAGTGTAAGAAGATGAATTAGATGCATATAAGAGATTGTGTGTATACATTAAATACTTAACATATAATTACTGCATGCTTCTTTGATGCCTCAAAATTTATTTCAAACTGCTCTGTATAATATACATCTTAAATATAGATTAAAGTGCTTATGTTGTAATCTCATTTTTGATTAATCAGATCCCTTTTGCTACTGTAGTATATTAATAAACTTCAGTGTTAGATGGATTACTTTTACCAGTAATTTCTTTATCCAGTAATAAGTATTAACAGTTCTTTGTTAATTAGTGGTCATTCTCTAGAGAAGTTTATAATGTAGGAAAAGTTGGCTTGATCTAAATTACCGTTGCTTGGTAGCAGTGTCTTCTGGTCAGAAAGTAGTCTTTGGAAATTTAGTTGGGCTGTCTAGCAAATCAAGGTGCGTGCATGCATATATTTGTGCCTTCCCCCTCACACTTGT